ACTCCTCCGCCAGACTCCAATCGACCTTGGAGCGCCACTTGCCGCCGTGCTGCGCCTTCGGCCTCTGCCAGTCGCTCTTGCACTGCATCCGCTCGTAGGCCTTCCAGACCGAGTAGAGGCGCAAGCAGGTCACCTCCGCGGCCTGTGAGTTGATCAGCTCGTCGTACTGCCCCTGGCTCATCATCCTGTCGAGGACCAGCGCCAGCATGTTCAGCTCCTGCGCGATGCCCGCGCCCTGCAGCTCCTTGGAGCGGAGCCACTCCTGCGTCTCCACGCGGGCGCTCCGCCCGCCCTTGTAGAGCTTCGCCAACACCGTCGGCGCCACGCGGGCCTTGATCCCGCCCACGGGGGAGCCCGCCACGCGGCGGTACTTCTCCAGCGTCGTCAGCAGGCTCTCCTTCGGGTTCCGCGACTCCTCCTTCAGCTGAACGATCTGGTCCTTCAAGGGATCGTCGAGCTCGCCCAGGTCCCCGATCTTCTCCCAGGACGCTGCGCTCGAACTCGGCGTAGGCGATCCCGCCTGCGCCCGGGTGCTCAAGCCCGAGTCGCGCTGCACCAGCTCCTCGTGCTCCGTCAACTTCTTGATGAACGCGTCCACCTCGGCCGTGCTGGGCTCGCCCACTCTGGGCGGCGGCGGCTCCGCGGGGGGCGGAAGAGGCAGCCCTGGGTCCGACGCCAGAGCCCCGCCGCCGCAGGCCGGGCCCGCCCCCGCCCCGCCACCGACGTCCAGCCTCGACTTCAGCATGCCCACCGCGTCGGCCAAGTCTGATTGCCCACGAGCCAACTCCGCGAACAGGGTCTTGGCGTCACGCTCGTCACCACTCACGTCGCTCACGTCCTCGCCAGCGTGCACTGACCCGCTGTCCGAGTCCGAACCTGAGTCGCTGTCCGAGTCGCCCTCCTTTCTGCAGGAGCATCCGTAGGTCCAGACCGCGTAGATCCCGATGAGGATGCAGCCCAGATACGCCGCGCAAAGCTCAAGGTCGCCTGACTCGTACAGCTCGCCAACGAACTCACGGAAGTTGTCCAGGTCCTCGATCGCCTGCATCCCCGCGGAGATGGTGTGGTACCCCGCGGCGAAGAAGGACCCGAGGTGCAGCCACCGCCACATCCTCCAGCCCACGAAAACGCCGCCGCCGTACCGCCCCACGTCTTGTGGGCCCAGGCCGTCACCACGGTCGACACGAGCCCCTTCCCGAACCAGGACGCCACCTTGGTCTTCGAGCTCGCCTTCTTCCCCTTCGTCGTGTTCGCCTTGGCGCTCTCGGCGCCAGCCTGGCCCAGCTCGTGGCGCACGATGAGCCGCTCCGCAGCTATGATGGCCTGCTCCCTCTCCTTCTCGGTCAGCCCTGGATGCTCGGTCCAGGTCACCCCCTTCTTCGGGCGCGGCAGCATCCGCGCCTTGTCCCGAAGGTTGATGATCTGCACGCGCTTCGCGGGATCGATCGCGGTCCACACCAGCGAGGTCCCCGGGCCGACGCGGCTCACGAGCAGCATCACCACGCCCGTGTTCCTCCCCTGCGTCTGGACGTAGACGCGGTTCCACCTGCTCCAGGGCGCCGTGAACCCTGCGGGCGAGCCTGTCCACCCGGCGCCGCCCGCGGGGTCGAGCGGCTCGACCAGGACCTCCTCGGCCTTCTCCTGGCGGCCGCCGACGAACTCCAGCAGCCCGTCGAGCTCGCAGAGGGCGAGCGCCGCCACCAGCAGCCAGCCGGGACGCCCGATGGCCGGCGTCGTGGCGGCGCCCGAGCCTGTCGGGCTCGGGGCGAGCAGGGGCTGGAAGCTACCCCTCTCTGATGGCTCGAGCGCGGGCCTCGCCCGCGAAACCCGCTTCTCGAGCCGAAACTTAGCGCAAGGAGCGGAGGGGCGAGCACGAGAGAGAACGAGCTAGCCCTACTCCTGAAGTACAGTTGAGGCGGCTATCTGAACGTTTAAAGGGGGCGTGTAAAAGTGTGTTTAAAAACGCGTATTCGGGAGGTCCATCTGGGCTGGCCTGGCCAAAGCGTGAGGGGGAACAAGAAAAAACAAACAGCTGCGTATAGTAGCGATCGTTGTTTTATTCCTTGCTTTGCCGATCGGCGCGGGCCCTCGCACCCCCCTCCCCCCCGCCCCAGAGGACGCACTGCTGCAAACAGTCGCACCAAGCAGAGGTCTGGAGCCTGACCCCCCCTCCCCCCCCTTCCGCACAACGTCGAAACGCCGAATAAGAAAATGCTCGTTGGTGGTATCCCCTTGCCAACACAAAAACAACGACAACACATGCGCATCGTACGGTTTGGTGGGCATGCTCTTGCCGTAAGCGCTCTTGGCGAACATTCGCGGACCTCCCGAAAACCAAACAAACACAAACCACAAAACAGACCAACAAGCAAAATCACTTGTGTGTAGCAATGTGTGGTGGTATTCAGGCCTCGGCAGGTCAGAGGGAGGAAGGATGAGGAGACAGAGGAGGAGACGGAGGAGGAGGAGGAGCAAGATGAGGTGTTATTCCTCCTCTGGCCACCTATTACTACGGCATCAATCAAACAACAGTGTTCCGTTTACCACAACCTTCGAACACATACGGGATATTTGTGTGGTCACATGCTTTCTTGCTTGGGGCATTGTCATTGGGGGGCGTGGAAGGGGAAGGGGCAGGAGGAGGAGGGGCGTCCGTATTCTGAGAATTTTCAAGTACAGGGAAATTCGTGTGTGTGTGGTGTGGTGAGTGTGCGTATGCGTGTGCGTGTGCGTGTGCATGTGCGTGTGCGTGCGCGTGCGCGTGTGCGCGTGCGTGCGCGTGCGCGTGCGCGTGCGCGTGCGCGTGCGCGTGTGCGTGTGCGTGTGCGTGTGCGTACGTGAGTGTGCGTACGTGCGTGCGTGCGTGCGAGCTGCGGTGAGATGGTAAAACAAGAGGTGTTGCAGGGATTGCGGTCGGAGCTGTAGTGAGAGTTGTAGAGGGGGCAGCCGTTATTGTGTGTAGTGGGAGATGCTCTACGGTCTTCATTAGGAGCTATTGTGGGGAGGGGGGGGCAGTCGTACGATCTGCATTGGGATGTATATCATTGACTGCACTAGGGGCTGGAGCGGGAGCTGTACGAGTGCTGGTGCCAGGGAGCTGTAGTACGAGTTGCCTCACAGTATGCAGTCTGTGTTGCAGTAGGAACTCCAATGGAAGTTGTACGACTGGCGTTACTCGGAACTGCATGTGGAATTGCAGTTGGAGATATACTGAGATCTGCATTGGGATCTGTACAAGTGGTTGTAGTCCCATGTTTAGTGTGCGCTTTCGGATGACTGTTCATGTAAGCTCGTGTAGGATCAACACTGGTTGTGGGATTGCAACAAGAGCTGCACTGGTATATGTAGTAGGATGTGTAACATGAGCTGCGGTCGGGGCTGTAGTAGGAGCTGTACTGAAACTCGCGTTGGTGGCTGTAGTGAGAACTCCTCTAAGAGCTGTAATAGAAGATGGTACGATGTGGAATCCGTGAAAATTGAAGAGGGAGCTGGCACAAGGGTTGTCGTAAGAGCTGTAGCGGAGCTGTTTTAGTAACAGGAACTGCAGTGAGACTTGTCATGAAATCTGTAGTCGTGTTGTAGAAGGCGTTGGCTGGGAATTGGAATAGGATATGTGGTATGACTTGTCGTGAAAGCTGCGGGAGTCGTAGTAATGGCTGGAACATGAAACCAGTGGGAATTCGAATATGACCTGTGCCGAAAACTGCATTACCAGCAGTACCTGGATTCGTCGTAGGAGCTGTTGCAAGGGATGCTGTGCGAATTGTAGTGAGAGCTGGGGGGGCGCTGTCCTATTGGTTGTGCTCGGAGATGAAGTATGACTTCTTCCAGGAAGTGAAGTATGGAGGTTGCAGGAAGAGCTGCAACAGAAGCCTATTCACTGGCTCTGCTAGTTGGAACGAGAATTGGGCGATTGGCAGTGTAAGGGTACTGTGGTAAGAGCTGCAGTCATATGTGTTGTAGACTCTGTGGTATGAGCTGTAGTTGGAACTGCACCATCTGATGTAGAGGTCATTGCCATACGGGATGCGTTCGGAGATGCACTAGGAGGCGAAATATATCAGACGTCGTGGGAGCTGTGGTGAGAGTTGCACTGGGAGCTGCACTAGTTCCTGCAGTCGGATTTAAAAACAGGACCTCTAGTAGAACGCGTAGCAGGAGCTATAAGGAATAGAAGGAAGAACTGCAGTGGGACCTGTACTGCTGGCTGCTGTAGATAGTCTCGTATGGGTTTGAGTTGGCGCTGTGATAAGGGGAACACAACAATCTTGATGTAGGAGTTGCAGCGAGAGCTGTGCTATTGGCTGCATTAGGGCTTGCAATGGGAGCTGCAGTCAGGGATATAGTAGAGCTGCAATAGTGTGGTAAGAGTTGTAGTGAGAGCTCTGAGAGTTGTACTAATGGTTGTGATACGGATGCAAGTAGGAGCTGTACTTTGAGTTATACTGTAAGCTTGATTGAAATGTAAAAGGAACTGTCGTATGAATTGAAGTCGGAGCCGCGATGCTGCTCGTGGTAGGAAATTGTCGTGGGAAATGCAGTAGAGGCTGTAAAAGAGCTGCAGTAGACGCAGTGCAGGTTTTTCATTAATAACTTTGGCAGGATATGTATTTCGCACTGCAGTGAAATCTGTACTACTGGTTGTACTATGGATTGTTCTAGAAGTTGCACTGTGAGCTGTACTGGAAGCTTTCCTACTAACCGTAGTCGTATACGTGGCAGGAGCTGCAGAAAGACGCTGCATAAGAGGAACAGGGACGGGGGCGGAAGAGAGCAATGAGGATAAGAACAGAAGATGGGAGAGTAGTGAGGGTAGCGACGGAAGAAGAGAAGTGGGAGTCACCGGGCACAATGCAACATGGATGATCACCTGTGGGGGCACATGTCTTTCTATCGATGTTTTTCTTGAACATTCTCCCATCTCCTTCTCAGCTTTCAAATCTGCTCTTCTTCGGCCGGTCACCGACCTTTCTCCGCACTCGCGCGAGAGAGCGCCGGAGGTGAGTTGTCCTACGGCCACCAGCCAGCTGCCAGATGGAGGCGTCGGGAAGACGGTGCCAAACACTGGCTGCTTCTTTCCATGACCGCGCCAGTGCAGTCGTTGCTACTGGCACGATCGGAACAAATCTGCTGATGGCCTCGTCTCTTCTTCAAACTCCTGGTGCATTCTGGGTAGAGTAAGGCCACGCATAGGAAAGCCAGCAAACATGTTCGGAAAGCCAGCAAACATGTTCATCAGCACTCGTTCTTCAAATCCTTCAACTATGAGCCACTCTTGGGCCGCCACAGTCAGATTTCGAGCCTCACCGATTCTAGGTCGAGGCTTCCTCGCCTTAGGAACCCCTCGGGGCATCTGGAAGTCCTCTGGGGTGTCTGAAAGTTCTCCCTTGCCCTGGGGGTTGTCTCTGTCTGGGCCTTCTGGAGGCCTTTCAGAAGCGGTGTGATTCCATCACGTGCATCCCCAAGCAGCCGCATGTTCTGCCAAGAATGCCTCTGCTGCCCGAGGAGTGTCTTTTCCCAACAGGCCCGAGGTGCTCTCAAGACAATCGGGGGACCACCCCTGATACTGATACGGCCGGTTCGCGTTGTGTCGACCAGCGGCGACCCCGCCGCGGCGTTCGGCGTTGAACGCCGCCGGCAACCCAGAATCGGTCGATGTCGAACGATCGGACGCTTCGGAAATGGCCGATCGGTCAAGTTTGAACGATCCCCGCAGTGTCAGGAGCCAACGCCGCGGTCGATGCGACGCGACCCTGCCGAAGGCTCGCCGCAAGGCAGCCTTCCTCTTCAGATCACAGCACGCGGTGCAGCATGGCATAGCAGTGCCCAGAGCGGGGCGCGGTGCCACCGGACGTCGCAGCACGGTATCGGGCGTCACGCTGTAGCACACGGCACGGCAGCAGAACGCGTGGGATGCCCGTGGTGGACGATCTTGGAAGCGATCGTCGTGCTCTGTGCCGAGAGGCATCACACTGTGACAGTGCACAGGCGCGGGAGGCGCAAGCTAGCGCGGAGTGGCATGCCGTTTCGGAGGACTCGGTGGAGTGCAGGTTGGGCTTATGCGTGCATTGTCCTGTTGGCTGCCCGCCCTCGTCGATCTCCCGGAGCGCTCGCGCGTGCTGCATCGATGCGAAGGTGCAGCGCACGTGCCCCTCGGGCTGCTGGGTGAGCGACGTGCACGGCCGTGCAGTCATGTGATCTTGTCTCTCTGTGTGCCTCGTCCACTCCGCAAGCGCCCGCGCCCAGCGCCTTCGTGGGGCGTGGGCATGAGCCCGTGGATGCCCTGGCCTCGCCACCTCTTTCTTTGTGCTGCGGAGAGAGGGGGCGAGTGGGCATGTGTTCGGGAGAGGGGGAGCAGAGGGAGAGGGAGAGGGAGCGAGGTAGAGGTAGACGTAGAGGTAGAGAGGGAGGGTATGTCTGTCTGTCTGTCTGTAAGTATGTATGCATGCATGTATGTACATATATACGTATGTATCGATGTATGTATGTATGTATGTCTGCAGGTAGGTACGTAGGTCGGTCGGTCGGTTGGATGGTCGCTCGGTCGGTAGCTAGGTAGCTAGGTAGGTAGGCAGGCACATGGTATGTTTGCTTGTATGAATGAATGCAACGCGTTGTATTGGAAGGTAATGAAAGTGTATGTAGTGTAATGCATTGCGATGTTTTGTCATGCAATGTAATGTATGTCTGTACGCGTGCATGTATGCGTGCAATGCATGTATACATGCATGATGTATGTATGTCTGTATACATGTATGTATGCAGGCATGCATGCATGCATGTATGTATGTATGTATGTACGTACATATGTATGTATGTATGTATGTATGTATGTATGTATGTATGTATGCATGTATGTATGTATGTATGTATGTATGTATGTTTGTATGTACGTGTGTATGTATGGATGTATGATTGTGTGTATGTATGCATGCATGCATGCACGCATGCATGTATGCATGCATGCATGTATGTATGCATAGATGTATACATGCCTGCATGTATGTATGTATGTATGTATATATACACATATGTGTGTATGTATGTATGTATGTATGTATGTATGCATGTATGTAATATGTGTGTGTATGTATGTATGAATGTATGTATGTATGTATGTATGTATGTATGTATGTATATATGTAGGTAGGTAGGTAGGTAGGTAGGTAGGTAGGTATGTATGTATGTATGTATGTATGTATATATGTATGCATGCATGTATGTATGTATGTATGTATGTATGTGTATATATATGTAGGTATGTAGGTATGTAGGTATGTAGGTATGTAGGTATGTAGGCATGTTGGTATGTAGGTATGTAGGTATGTAGGTATGTAGATATGTAGGTATGTAGGTATGCATGTATGTATGTATGTATGTATGCATGTATGTATGCATGCATGCATGCATGCATGTATGTATGTATGTATGTATGTATGTATCTATCTATCTATGTATGTATGTATGTATGTATGTATGTATGTATGTATGTATGTATGTGTGTGCGTATGTCCGTGTGTGTATGGCATTATATTTCTATAAATGTGGCCTGCGGCACATCCCCCACCTTGCCTGTGTTCTGGGTCAGAGTTCTCAAGGATGTTTCTTCGGGTCTTTTCGGATCGCTCTTTGGGGCCTCTCATGAGCAGTGTGGGGACCTCTTGGGGGCCTCTTGGGGGCTCATGGGGGCCTCTTGGGGAAGGCCATGCCCGAACCAAAAGGGTTACGGAATGGGCTTGGTGACTAGCATCGCACGGCGGCCTCTTGGGGACGTGTTGGGGGCCTCTTTGGGGCCTCTCGGGGCCTCCTAGGAGCCCCTCGGCGCCGAGGGCTCGAAATGTCCATTCGGGTTCTCATTCTGGGCCCCCTCTCCGGGCTGTCTTTGGGCCCTTTTTGGTCGTCTTGGGCGCTTCTTCGGCCGTCTTGGGGCCCTCTTGGGGGCCTCTTGGGCCGTCTTGGGTGCCCATTCGGCCGTCTTGGGGCCCTCTTGGGGGGGGCCGTCTTAGGGCCATCTTGGGCGTCTCGGAGCGATCGTTCGGCGACTCGGGGCCGTCCTGGGACGTCTTGGGAGCCCCTTGGGGCCTTCTGGGCCCATCTTGGGAACTTCCTGGGCCCGAAATAGGTCACGCGAGACGACGCGACAAAGCCCCCGGCGAGATGCGCCAAGCCCCGGTAGGTCTGGGAATCTAGGGTCCGGGCGTTGTAGAGACTCCCTCAAGAGCGAGGATCGAGGCGTAGAGGATTGGGCCCAGGACTTGAGGGCACGCCCACTCCGTGCTCAGCGGCACGGTGGCGGATATTTTGTTATCTATATGTATGCATGTAACGCATGTATGTATGCATGCATGCATGCATGTATGCTTGCAGGCAGGCAGGCAGGCAGGCAGGCAGGCAGGCAGGCAGGCAGGCAGGCAGGTAGGTAGGTAGGTGTGGATGGATGGATGGATAGATGGATGGTTTGATGTATGCATTTGTGTATATAGAGGAGGTCATCACCGGAGATGGTTCCGCTGGGCCGGAGGGGGAGCGGAAACCGGAACCGGAAACCGGAAACCGGAAAACGGAAACCGGAAAACGGAAAACAGCGAAGAAGGAAGCGGAGGCCGACGGCAGACGACAAGAATCGGAAAACGGAAAAGGGAAAACGGAAAACGGAGAAGAAAGACGCGGGGGGTGACGGGAGAGCACCGGAACCGGAAAACGGAAAACGGAAAGCGGAAACCGGAACCAAAAAACGGAAACGGGAAACCGAAAAGGGGAAAACGGAAAACAGCGAAGAGGGAAGCGGAGGCCGACGGGAGACCACCGGGATCGGAAAACGGAAAACGGAAAAAGGAAAACGGCGCAGAAAGACGCGAGGGACCACGGGAAAGCACCGGAACGGGAAAACGAGAAACGGAAAACGGAGACCGGAACCGGAAACCGGAAAACGGAAAGCAGAAACCGGAAAACAGCGAATACGGAGCCGGGAGCCGACGGCAGACCACCGGAATCGGAAAACGGAAAACGGAAAACGGAAAATGGCGTAGAAGGACGCGGGTGCCCACGGGAGAACCCCGAACCGGAAAACGGAAAACAGAAACCGGGAACTGGAACTGGAAAACGGAAACCGGAAAACGCAAAGCGGGAAATGGAAAACGGAAACCGGAAACCGTAAAACGGAAACCGGAAAACGGAAAGCGGAAAACGGAAAACGGAAAACGGAAAGCGGAAACCGGAAAACGGAAACCGGAAAACGAAAATCGGAGGAGGAGGAGGAGGAGGGAAAGGAGGAGGAGGAGGAGGAGAAAGAGGAAGAGGAGGAGGAGCCTCCCTTCCTCCTCTCTCCCTCTTGCCCCCCCCCCGCCCCTCCTCCCTCCCCGTTCCCTTTGCCAGGCTTCCTCCCTCCCTCCCTCCTGCCTCCCCCCTCGTTGATCCTGCCCTCACCTCCCTGTCTCCCTCCTCGTTCCCTCCTCCTCCTCCTCGTCCCTCTTCCCGAGCGGAGCCGGCGCGCGGGCTGGCCAGACCGAAGGACAACGACGATCTGATTTCAAGAAACCCCCAAAACGTTCCAAGACTGCTCCAAGAGGCTTCCGAAACCTCCAAAGAGGCCCCCAAGAAGCCAAACTCCTTCAAACACCAAAAGAAAATGCATGATTTTTGCTTTCTCGCTTTTTCGCTTTTGATGGCCATCCGAAGCCTCAAGGTGCATCCAAAATGGCCCAGGAGAGCCCCAGGAGAGGCCCAAGAGAGCCCCAGGACGGCCCCAAGAGCGCCCCAAGAGCGATCCAAGAGAGGTCCAGGAGGCGATTGTCGGTGCTCCCAAGGGGGGAGGCAAATTGAAGCTCACCTTTTTGTGATCGATGTCCTCCAAGATGGCCCCAACAGCGCCCCTAAAGCTCCCAAGAGCGGCCCAGGAGGGCCCCAAGAGGCGCTCAGGCAGCCCGAAGATGCCTCCAAGAGGCTCCCGAGAGACCCTATACGAGGCCCCAAGAGGATCTCCGAGGTACCCAACTCTCCCTCCTTCTCCTCCTTCTCGTCCTCCTCGTCCTCGCCCTACTCCGCCTCCTCCTCCTCCTCCTCCATCGACGACGACGATTCCTCCTCCATCCTCCCCCTCCTGCGGTATATGACGGCGTCCCCCGCCCTTTGTCCTTCTGCGTGCTCCCCCACTTCTCGTATCATCTCAACTCTCCTGGGCATCGTTTCTGGATGGGCTGGTGGGGATATGTGAAGCGTCAACAATAGCAGCGCGTTCATCGATTACCGATGACAAATCCCACCAGTCCTCTGGGCGGAGGTGGTCTACGGCGTTTCCTCTGGTAGCTTTCCAGAAACCCCTCTCCCTAACCTCTCCCCTGGACCTCGCCGCACCCCCTGCAATATTCTGCCAACGAGGGGTGCAAAGATTCCGTGCTGACCCTGCAACACCCTGCAATACCTTGGAAAACGACCCTGCAAACCAAACCCCTGCAGTACCATGCAATACCCTGCAAACCACCCTGAAATACCCTGCAAAACGACCGCGCGCCCTCTGGGTGGAGGAGGTCAGAAGCGGTTCCTCCGCACGCTTTCTAATCCCCGAGCCCGCTGGGCGTGAGTGGTCTAGCACATTGCCTCTTCCAACTCCCCTGCTTCGCCTTCGGGGAGGGGCCTATCATTTTTTCTCATTAGAATGATACCGGAGAAAAGACCCAATCAGGGCTATAGGGCTAGGGGGCTATAGGGCTATTGAGCTATAGGTCTATAGAGCTATAGGGCTATAGAATTGTAGGGCTGTTGGGCTATAGTGCTTAGGGCTATAGGGCTATAGGGCACGCCCGGGCCCCCGGGCCCCCGGGCCCCCTGGCCCCCCCGGGCACCCCCAGGCACCCGGGCGTGCAGCGAAAATCGGCGACAAACCGAACCTAACCATATGAATCCGCTATGACCCCTACAGAAGCAAGCTCTGCTTGAGGAGTAAACACCCCCTCCCTGGCCCGACTGGCAGCCAATCTGGATCCATAACGACACCCATGGCAACACCCCCCACAACATCCCTGTCAAAAGCCATACAACATAAACTTTGCCTCTGGAGCCTGGAGCATGCGCGGGCATCCCACGACCACTTAGCATGGGGTCTTGACAAGGACGGCGGCGGTGCCGGCACATTGTTCGCCGCGCGCACACCCGCACACAACAAACCCGCCGTCACTGTGTATTGTTTTTGAACAGGGACGGTGGGAGGGTCGACATATTACCCAATATGGCGCACCTGGCCCGCGTGGCGCAGCTGACATGTGCGGCCCATCTCGCGGGCTTCGCGCA